GCTTCTCAAGCACGTGTCTTTTTAAAAATTAATAATAAAGAAAATGATTTGCCAGCTGTTAAAGAAGCCACGGATTGAGCTTCTTTCGCTTCCCTTTTCTTTACCTATTTAGGGGACAGGAAACACCCAGAAATAGCCAGTGGGAAGGAAAGGTCAAGGTGAGGGCTGAGTCAGTGAGCGGAAGCCGGCGGGGGCTGAGCTGCCTGGCTTGGCCCTCCAAAATTCCTTCAAAACTCCCCGAGCCCCTTCCTGGCCACAAGGCCGGTCCCCTGCAGTGGGGCAGAGTAGCAGGGAGTTAGTGGAGCAGGCCCTGGGGGTCGGGGGCGGCCAGGATCCCGGGGTTCCCGCATCCAGCCTCGGGGCTCCACTGGGTCATGGTCCTGGGGCTGAATCATCCCGGTGACCGCCCACTGACAGAACCACCTGGCCCTCCTTCTGGGCCTTTCAGACTGGGGTGCAGAGAGCCTACCACCACATGATGCTCTGTGAGGGCCCCGGCAGGCCTCCCCCAGCTACTACTGAGGGTACAGTGGCCGGCTCAGGGCACCTGGGTGCTGGTCCTCAACCACACACAGCCCTGCATTTCAGGATCCCACAGAACGAGTTAGGCTGTGGTCAGCCCCCGACCCACAGCGTCCCAGGGACTCTGCCTGATGCTCTCCCCGCTAGACAGAGAACAGGCCCTGGTGATGCCCGTGACCCAGACGCGACCCCCCCAGAGACACAGAGCACTGAGAAATGCCAGCCCCAGCCCTAAAAATGCTGAGGCCCCATCACTTGTGTCCCACCTGTAGGACCCGGGCCTGGCATCACTGGAACACCAGCTCCATCATGCTACTTGGAGAAATTAAGGCTTCACCGCCCCTCCTCCAGGTGGCAATGCTATTATTTGCCCCATTTACAGACAAGAGAATTGGGACTCAGAGTTATCTGGGAACTTGACCTGTGTCCCCACAAAAGGGGCAGAGCCGGGCGGGACTTCAAGACCCCTGCCCGCGAAGGCAAACCCGACTCAGGAGGACCTGAATGGTGACGAGGGCAGAGGGCTGCCTTCCCAGCCCTGGCCGCCTCACCCCAGGCCTCGGCCTCGGGCAGCTCTACCAGGAAAGCCAGGAGAAGCTCTGGATGGAGGTGGATCGCCACCCGCCTCCGCCTTGAAGACCGCGTGCAGGGACTGAGCCAGGCTGGACTGGACACGAGGCCCCTTGAGAGCCAGGCTCTGGGCCGGGAGCCAGGCTGACCTCTGGCCCTCAGGCCGGGACAAGTGTGTCCCTTCCCGCCTCCCTCTTTCTTAGAAGTCCTCTCAGCCCTGCAGTTCCTGAAGTGTCTGCTGCCCTGCCAGCAACTGCTTAACCCCTCATCTCGCGGCCCTCCGTTCCAGAACCCGGAGGGGAAAGGTCACAGGAGGCAGGTGCCAGAGGACTCAGGGGGAAGAGAACAGCCTTCTGGGACCCTCGAGGGCTGCACTTTGGTGTCACCAATTACTCTGTGGCCTTGGAGGCCTGGCCCCTCAGTGCCTTGGGGCTGAAGGGACAACAGCTTTTGCTGAGCATCCTTGCAGACAGACTAAGGACAGGCTTTGACGGGGTACCGAGCACCTTCCCTGGTCCGGTCTCTGTCCTAACTGCTGGATGTGGGTGTGCGTTTCCTAACTGATTCTTCACAACAACCCAAGGAGGCAGAAATGATTCGTATCCCCATATTACAGCCACGGGACAGGGGCACAGGGAGGGAAGGGGGTTGCCCAAGGTCACAATGTACATGGTGGAGCTGGGAGGAGTGGCATCGACGTGGAGAGAGCTTTCATTTTGCCTCTGATGAGGAATATTACTACCTCTCAGGCTTCTTATAGATCCACACAGGGAGCAGACCTGGCCCGTTCACTGTGCGCCCTAGCGCCTAGTAGGGTGCCTGGCACAGAGTGGGTGCTCTGGATGAAGGAAGAGCCAATGAGGTTATTTCCTCTCTAAGGAAATAACCTGGGCCCTGGAATCAGACACGACACCTCCATTTGCCAGCTCTGTCCCTGCCCAGCTCTGTGACCTTACATAGTTGCCTCTACCTCTTGGAACCTGTCTCCTCATCACAAAATGCAATAGGAACCATACTAATACCATGAGAGGACCACTGCGAGGATTAGAGACACGTAGAAAGGCCCCTGCATCTGCAACTCTGTAAATAGTAATTGCATTATCATTTTGAATTATTAATTCAGAATTTAGAATTTTATTAATCTGAAATGAGAAGATGTCTGCAAAGAGACTTCAGAAAGCCCCGCCCAGTGTCTTCAGCAGTGTTTTGATGCTGGGGATCTGCCTGAGGACACAGACAAAGGGAGACCTCTCCTGGGTCATGATGGAGGTGTGAGGTTGTCAGCTTGAAGGAAGGACTCATGGGAACATTTGATGCCACCCCGTGAGCCAGCATGGGATGGAGCTGGCCCAGGATCTGAGACAGCCTGAGCCCCAGGCAGGGCCAGACTGGGAGCAGGCCACCCTCTGGACCCTCATGCCTGGTCGGGGGTCTCAGGCAGGTCGCAGCCCCACTGTCTCAGCCAGCTGAATGGACCTTTCCAGGCCACCCGACTCTCCCTGGCATCATCACTCCAACGGGAAAACGGAGGCCCGGGGCGGGGGGGCAAGGACTGGCTAAAGTGACTGTAAGGCATTGAGCACAGAGCAGAGACCGGGGTCCCCAGCTCTTGACCCCAGCCACCCACATCCCTCGCCTGGCTGAGCATTTCCACTGAAGCGGCCCTGCCTGCCTCTGGTGCCCAAGACCGCACAGAGCATGAACTGGTTTATTTCGACCAGTCAAGGCCACGTGCTTGGGGATGGCCAGCCCCAAGCCTGACCTCGCTCCCACTCTTGCCTACCCCTGACTCAGCACTCGGAAACACCTGCCAAGCAGATGAGAGCCTACTTGGTGCTGGGCCCTGCTGGGCCCCTTTGAGCCTCACAGGGCTGCACACAAGTTGACCGTGAGGTCACAGAGGTGCAAACCGTGTGAAGCAGTGACAAGGGTGACACACCAGGGCAGCAGACTGTGAGGAGGGTCACAGTCTCTGGCCACACGACCTAGGTTCGAGACCCCTGTGCCTCGGGCTAGCTGGGGGCCCTTGGACCAGTTTCTTAGCCTCTCTGTGCCTCTATGCAGGGCTAAGAGAGCACTCATCCCACAGCGTTGCCATGAGGGTCCGTGAGATGCATGCACTTGGCCAGGGCCCAGCCCCCAGCCAGCAGTTACCAAATCGCGGCCGCCGTTAGTGTCTACAACAGTTGTGTCTGAGTCACAAGCTTGCACACACACACAAGGCTTCTGGATTGTTTCCAAAAGTGGGGCTGCCACCTTCCTTGACTCGCTGGCACAGAGCTCTCTGAAAGGCATCGGCATTTCCGCGCTGCTAGCGCTGAATCCCTCCAGTTCTTTCTGGGTGACCCCAGCCACCCTGAAGCCCTTCATTCCTGCCCTGGGCGGTCACACGGCGATTCCTGGGGAGAAACAGCTTCACTCTACATGGTCTGAAGTCTGCTGGGTGAAGGAGGGTCGACCCAGAGCCCGGGACAGGGGAACATGAGCTTGCGGTGACCTCAGGCTGGGCGTTCCTCCCTGTGGGAGAACAAGGGGTGATCTAAAACAAGTTCATGATCTCCCTCCGCTGTCCTTTTGATGGCCAATGGCCTGTGGTTCTATTTTTGGGTTCTCTGCTAACAGCATCGCACCCACAATAGCTAGCATTGATCGAGCACCTGCCATGTGCTAGAAACTAAACTTGGTGACTGATTTAACAGCTATCAGTTATTGCACGCCATGCTGCCCCCGCCGCGGACACTCTACCCATGACCTCACTTCATCCTCACCGCAGCCTGACTGTCTTCGCCGTAGAGATGAGCAAATAGATTCCATGTGACAAGATGGCCTCGTTCTGCTGGGATTTGAACCCCGAGAGCCAGGCTCGTCATCCCTCGGTCATGCCCAAGTCCCTGTAGCTCTGTGAGGTGGGAATTACTATCTCCATTGTACTGATTTAAAAAAAAACACACAAAAACAAACCTATGGCCCAGAAAGGGGAAGTGAGTCAGCCCAGATCACACTGCTTGAGATGATACCCTCCAAGGGGATCCTGCTTCTTCCTCCTTGTATCCCAATTGTCTCAGCCAGGGCTTTAAAGAAATGCGCTTGGACTTTGTGACTCTCAGTCCTGACTCAGAATTCCTGTCCGGTTACTCGGCCCCCTACAGCTGAGCTCCAGGTAACTGAGGGCTCAGCCTTTGGCAGGAGGTCTGACTTTCAGATAAGCAGAGCCCCAAGGTGGAACAGAGACCAAGTTACAGAAGAAACTCACACCCCATCCGCTGCCTGCTTCCTCACTGAAACTTGAACATGGAGTTTATCCCACCAGGGCATGTGTGCCTTGCTTCACCTAGTTGGCTCATGACAGCTTGGTCAGCTCAGTATGACGATCATTTTGTAAGAAATTGAGGTCAGATGGTTTATCTAAGTAAGGAATCAGTGACTAGTGTCCGAGACAAATTACATCATCCAGGTTACTGTTAAAAACTCTAGCAGATTGTGGGGGGTGGGCTGTTTCTCCCTGTTGGGGGAGAGTTTGGGGTTGCGGGCTCCAGGCAGAGAGAAGGGGGCATGATGAGGGGCAGGGCTGCAGCTTCAAAAACTCTGGCCCTGAGATTTATTCCCTTTCAGTGGCCATCATGGAGGAAATGGTGGCTTAGTTCCTCTTGTCAGTCTTCCCTCTATATATTTACCCTTTTTCCCCCAAGAGCGAAGAAAAGAGGAGTTGGCTACTTGATTGCTGAAGACCCAGGCAAAGTGGGAACAGGAGCAGCCCTGAGGACAGGGGTGACTCACTCCCCGACCAGAGGACGGGGCCAGCCAGAGCAGAGGGGCCCTTGGGAAGACCTGGGCTTTTGTTCCCTCTAGGACCAAAATGAATCAGCGATCCCACCCAGTCACACCGGCCAGTCCCAAACTTTCCTGGGTAGAACCAGCAAGAGCATGGAAGATGAGTCAGGCGGGACTCCATCAGTGGGCGCAAACAAGGCGAAGGCGGTGCTCCTCCCCACTCTCCACCTTCATCCTGAAAGAGGCCAGACAGGACTTGGTGCTCCTTGAAGCAAAACGGAAACCAGAACCAGAAAAGGAAAGTGGGCCACAGTGCCTCTAAGGGGACTGGCCAGCCAAGGGCGGACCACCTGCTGTGCACTGGCCGTTTGGACACCAGGCAGGTTTGCTCACGTGTTCACTGACTCAGGCAGGAGGTCAGGAGCATGGACTAGACATCTAGCCAGTGCCAGGCATCCTGCAGGCTAGCCCTCCTCCAGACCCTGCGAAGGAGCAATGTGATGCTCATGCACAGATGAGGAAACCGAGGCCCTGGCCAGGGTGGCCCAGCCAGGAATCCACCCCAGAGCCATCTGACTCAGGAGCCTTGCTTCTTTTGATCCTGTGTCTGTAGAGACCCGGTCTTCATCAGTGGGTAAAGAGTGCCCGTTTAGAATGTCACCACCTGGGTTGGTGCAGGAGACTAGAAAGTCCAAGACTTTTCTCAGCGAAGCATCCTGAGTTTTGTTTGTTTGTTTGGGTTTTTTTATGTGGGGGGAGGTAATTAGGTCTGTTTGTTGGTTGGTTGTTTTTAACGGAGGTACTGGGAATTGAACCCAGGACCTCACGTGTGCTAAGCATGCACTCCACCACTGAGCTACACCCCACCCCCACCTGAAGCATCCTGGGTTACTTCAGACCCGGAGCCTACCTCCAGGAGCAACAGAACCCGGGCCTGCCCGCTGGGGCGGCTGCAATGCAGAGGCCAGATGTGTGAGCCTGGCATCACTCACCGCATCACGGCCCCGCTCCCGGCTGCACTCCGCTGGCTTGTGACCCCCGTCCCTCCACGCTCTCCTCCTCCCTCTCCTCAGCATGAAAGAGACTGAGTGGTGCTGGCAGCTGCTCCTCAGCATCTGGCGGAACATTCTGCCCCATAGCTGAGTGCCTCTCACTCCCCAGCCATCCCTGGGGATGGCCAGTGACTCATATTTCCATTTTCAATGCAGGGCCAGGCACCAGATCTTTCCATGACCACCAGGACTGGCCATATGGCACTGGGATTAAGGACATGAGCTGTGATGTCAGACAGGCCTGAGATCAGATCTTCCTTCTGCTGCTGTTGTTGGCTGTGTGATTTCAGGCAACTAACTTACCCTCTCTGAGCCTGCTTCCCCATTTGTAAATAGAGACCATAGCAAACAACTCTGATGTCTTCTTTATTGAAAAAAATCTCTTTCCATTTGCTTGCAGCTCTTAAAAATGAACCATTCCCTCCTGTCAGTTTTCTTCTTTATATTCTCACCATTCGTAAGCCAAGGAAAAAGGAAGCTGATTATTGGTTTCTTAAAATGGAACAGTAATATTTATGTACCATTTGTTATGTGCTAGGGAGCTATTATAAGGTGCTATCACCAACCCCACTTTATAGATGAGGCAACTAAGGCCCAGAGAGGTAAAGTAACTTGCCTAAGCTAACACAGCTAGTGGCAGAGCTGAGATTCACACCCAGGCTGTCTGGCTTCAGAGTCCTTGCTCTTAATCATTATGCTGAGAAAAGTTAAAAAGATGAAAGACATAAAGCACGTGGCATGGTGGGGGACAAAGAGTGAATTCTGAATAAGTGTTTTCTGGGAGTATTAATACTACTATTATTATTGCTTTGCCATCAACGTGTCTGAGTCTCATTCTTGACCAGGAGAAGAATAAGCAGGTGAGGGCTCCCTGCCCTTCCAGCCAAAGCCAAGAGGCAAGAAGGTTTTGAGGTAAAAACCCACCCACATGTGTGGGTCCCTTGGCCTGCCAATTAAATGTTCCTGCTGCGTGGCCTTGAGAAACCGGCTTCATGTCTCTGGGCCTTGGTGTCTTCACCTCTCAAGTGAGGATGCTCTGCTGTCCCTTATCTCTGGGTTGGGAGCAGAAGAGAAAGTGCCAGGTGTGCCTTGAGTGCTCTGTTGAATATTGGCAGGCTGTCAGCAGACCCTCCAGCCCAGGCAGCCTGGCACCAGATCCGGTTCTAACCACTGGGCTCCACGGCTCCCCAGGTCGAATACTCGTGTCAAAAGGCAAAGCCTGCGATTCGGTCCCCAAACCCCCATACCTAACAGCCAGTGAAATGCTGGTAACAGAACACCTACCTGAGACAAAGTGTCCCTGTGAGGTTATAAGTGAAAGGTTGGGTACAGGCTTATCTGGAAAAGACAAACAAAAGAAAGCAGAGTGAATATGAAAACGAATATATGTATGTACATGCGTGACTGGGACAGTGTGCTGTGCACCAGAAATGGGCACATTGTAACTGACTGTACTTCAATTAAAGAGCGAGCAAGCAAGCAAACGAGCAAGCAAGCAAGCAGGGCTAGTATTATTGATAGCAGACAAAACAGAATTTGAGGTAAAAATCATTCAATTGAATGGTCGGGAGACCCTTAATTCCCTTTGCCTCCATGGGAGGCAAATGTCATCCCTTCCTGAAGGCTGCTGCCTCGTTAAGATCTTTCCCGCTTGGTCTCCTCTGACCAGACAGGGCCACTGCCCCTCTCTCCTCCTGTTCCCCAGGCCTCACCCTCGCCTGCTCTCAGGGTGGTAGGGACCTTGTCTCCCAGCAGTGGAGGGAGGGTGGGCACCCAAAGGACCTCCTCCTGGTGAGTTGCTCACAGAGCATTTCCAGCGCTAACCTTTGAGTACAGGGCCTGGCCCAGAGTGGATACCCATTAAAGACGGGTGGAATGAACTTAAACTGGACCCTCAGTCAGGAAGATGTTAGTTCAACCTGAAAAAAGTGATGAGGAGATCTTGTCTGGCATCCTTGGTCTTGAGCTACAGAGAGAATTTTTTAAAATTTCCTATTGAAGATTTTCAACTAGAAATTAAGTCCACGGGACCCTTCCAAGCCTATGCCTGTCCTTTACTTCTTCAGTCAATGTGTATTGACTGTTTTTGCTGCCAAGCTCTCAATGTCGTAAGAATGCAAAACTTGGGTGAAGCTTGGAGCAGCTAACTCTACAGAAGGAACAGGAAGTCTTCCAGCCATTGGTCAATGTCTATGGAACGTCAGATATTAACTGCGTACAATGGAATAGGGAGCAAATGTTTCATGGGGCTCATCGTGGTCTGGGGGGGCGGGGCAGACCGCACAGCCATCATCATGACAAGCGCGGCACACCCCACACACAAAAAGCTACGTTTCAAGACACTCACTCCGGAGCTGGACCGGCTTCTTTACTTCCGTTGTGTGCCCTTGAGCAAGAGGCTTAATAAGCTCCCCGAAGTTCAGTTTCACTGTCTTTAAATGGCAATAATGATTACTTTCTTCCTAGGGTCATCATGAGAATTGTAAGAAACAACTCAAATAGCGGGCATATCATTTTTATCGTCACGGTAAGGCTGATGGCAACATAATAAATGCCAGATGAACGTTACAGAAAGTGGGAGGGGGAGCACCTCTTCCTGGAGAGGGGGCGGTATGCTTGAGGAGAATTTTCAGGAGGAGGTGATGGTTGGTGCTGAGCCTTAAAGGAGGGCTTGGATTTCTATACAAGGAAGTGGCCAAGAGTGAATCAGTTCAAAAGTAGAAAAATGAATGATTCAGAAAGTCATTAAAATAAAACAACTAAAGAATCTAAACCAAATGACTGGGTTCCTTAAAAATAGGACATTGCACTGCCAAGCTAAGAAAGTGTTAGTCAGGCGGGGGAGGAGGTTACTGGGAAATTTCACCCAGTTCAGCATTATTGAGAAGTTGCGGGTTTCTGGAGTCTTCGCTGGCTCTTGCACAATCCTGTGGGGTCAGGGTTACCCAAACTCTGGTCCAAAGACTGAGAGGGAAGGGTTTCAGACAGGATCGATATTAGAAAAAAGAAAGAATTTCCTTGAAAATAGGAGCTGTCGCAAGAGAAAATGGTTAAATATATTGGAGAAGTCTGGGCTGGATCCACAGGTCAGCAGACATTTGTCCTGGGAAATCAGGACGTGGGACATCCAGAAGGCAGGGACGATGGATGCTCAGGGGTTTGAATCTGATCCACAGGAGAGACATATCCCATTCTCTCTCCCCCCAGTCTCCTGCATCCCCACCTCACTTACCCCCACCCTCTCACACCACAGGGACACCCCAGCCTTTTCCTTCTCGCTGACGGGACTAGGCAGGTGCGGCTGAGATCCAAGCTCTGCCACTTGATTGCTGTGTGATCTTAGGCAGGTCACTTCACCTCTCTGTGCCCTTGCTACTTATCTACAAAAAGCGGCTACTAATATTCACTTCAGTGGATTATGGTTGCAAGTTAATGAAACACACCTGGCATATTTAGGGTCTCAGAAAATGTTAGTTCCAGCACCTTCTCCCGTTCTCTGACTTCCTCTTTCCCTACCTATTCTGATGATTTCCTGCTGGAGATAACCATGGAGTCTACAGGCAAATCACTGAACGCCTCCTATCTGGTACCCTGCAAGTAAGATCACTGATTCATTTATATCATGCCACTTATATTTATAATTACCTATCATGTAACGAACATTTTGCTTGGAATAAAGACAAATGTTATATAAAGACAAGCGGATGAGAGGTATACAAGAGACTGAGATGAAGTGTCAAGGGCTGGAGAAGGGAGAAACCAGCGTTTCCAGTGGCCCTGCTGTGTGCCGGCTGTGGAGGGGGACATCAGGATAAGGAGGTGAGAGTGGCACAGCCCAGGGTGTTGGAGGGACCACAGCTCAGGGGGAGACAGACACACACCAAATGACAGCTGTAGGGACCCCTGGGAGGCTGTGATTTTATTGTCTCTGGCGAGCTGGGAAAGGTTCAGAGAAGAGGTGACAGAGGAGCTGGTGCTGAAGGTGAGTACTTACCAGGTGGATAAAGCCAGGAAGAGCATTTTTAACTGAGGAACAGCCTATGCGAAGACCCAGCTGAGTCAGAGAACAGAATGCTTGGCAAATGGTTGAGCGCATCTTTAGAGAAAGTGAAATAAAATCTTTTCATTTAGCGTCAGAGCCTGACACAGAGTAAGGGTCCCATGAAAGTCAGCCATGAGTATTGACAGGTGGCCCCTGAACTTGACCTTCAGAGGTCAGCCGATATTGCTAAGACTTCTACAGAGAGACCAATCACCTCCCAGGATGAAGGTGAGCTCAGTGTCAGAGGAAGGAGGGAAGTGAGCTTCAGAGAGGGGCTGTGAAGTGAGACACTTCCTGCTTTGGGGAGGCCTGTGTGGGTCCCTCCTCCTCGGGGTTGCATGTTCTGTTCCCTTCCCCAAAGAGAACCTCCAGATCCCGCCTGCTGACTGGCACTCGGCTAACGGGAAGGTGGGCCACGCTGGGCCCCAGTCATCAGCTTGTCCTGATGAGCCAGCCTCTGGGGATTCCTCCTGTCCCAGGGAGCATTTAGAGAAGTACCCAGAGAGTCATCTGCCCTGTGCGGTCACTGCCTGTCAGGGCTGCGCGAGACAGGCAGGGAAATGGGCAGATTGCAGTACCGAGCAGTAGGAACTGAGCAGTGGGAATCAAATGCTGGGCCCCAGAGCTGGGTCTGTTACCAGAAGACGGTTAAGTAATCAGTTCACACATGCACTTGACAAATGCGCACCACAAATGACAAATGCTGGAGAGGCTATGGGGAAAAGGGAGCCCTCCTACACTGTTGGTGAGAACGTAGTTAGGTGCAGCCATTATGGAAAACAGGATGGACATTCCTTAAAAAACTAAAAATAGACTTACCCTATGATCCAGCAGTCCCACTCCTGGGCATATATCTAGAGGAAACTCTAATTTTAAAAGACACATGCAGCACAATTTACAATAGCCATGACATGGAAGCAGCCTAAATGTTCCCTGACAGATGATTGGATAAAGAAGGTGTGGAATATTACTCAGCCATTAAAAAGATAAAATAATGCCATTTGCTATGTGGATGGACCCGGAAATCATCATACTAGGTGAAGTATGCCAGAAAAAGAAAAAAAAATACCATATGATATCACTTATATGTGAAATCTAAAAAAAGAGACATATATGAACTTATTTACAAAACAGAAACAGACTCACAGACATAGAAAACAAACATGGTTACCAGAGGAGAAAGGGGGTGAGAAGGGATAAATTGGAAGTTAGAGATTTGCAGATACTAACTACTATATATGAAACAGATAAATAGAGCACAAATTTCTTCTGTAGAGCACAAGAAACTATATTCAGTATCTTATAGTAACTTACAATGAAAAAGAATATGAAAACGAATGTACATGTATATGCTGGACACCTGAAATTGACACAACATTGTCAACTGACTGTACTTCAGTAACAAATAAACATAAAATCAACAAAAAAACCCAAATGTGTATTGAGTGTCAACTGCGTGCCAGGTGCTGTTTCAGGTTCTGGGGACACTGTGGAGATAGACAGCATGTCCTTGCTTCAGGGAGTTGCTATTCTGGAGCGAAAATGTGCACTAACAATGCCCTCCAGCATTTATTGAGCATTTATGCCAAGCCCTGTACCACACACTATGCCAGAAGGACCTCACTTAATCTCCTTAACTGCTTCATAAGACAGACCTATGTTGCATCATTGTTATCCCATTTTATAGATGACATTCTCCTGCTTTAAAAATCCACCCGCAGGGATCCCCTTCCCCAGATCTGTCCATCACTGCCTCTCAAAAGGGGGTGAGCTAAGGTGAGTCAAAAACAATGACATCTAGCCTTGCTCTCAGCTCACAGTGACCTAACAGGGCAAGAATGAGGGGCCTGGCACCTTCTGATAACAGTCAGGCCCCTCCCGCCCAAACCACTCTCCTAAACTCTAAGAGCTTTCAAATGCTTTTGGATCAATGTAATAATGCCCTTTCCCAGCATTCCTTAATCATCATTACTCTGGACTCAGGCATTTAATTGCTCATCTGTTTCTCAATTCTTTCATGAATGGAGAATTTTTTTCATGATTGGATCCAGGCTAGAGCAGCCTTTGACCAGATGGTGCTGTAGGTGAGTCCCCTCCCCTCCACCTCCATCCGCTCTAATTGCCACTCTGCCTTTCACTCTCTTACTCTGTATCCACGTGGGAGCCCTACTGTGTGCCAGGTTCCTGGGTCATGAGCCCCCAGGAAGGCAGAGGAAGAAACAAGCCTCTGGGAGAGGGGGGACAGATAGAGACCAGAGAGAGTGTAGCCCAGGGGACTCGAGGAGCCCAGAAGTCATGCCACCTGGCCAGGTGAGAACATAACACCTGCAGGAGTGAGCACTCACAGCTGAGCCCAGAAAACCAATAAAAAGTCACCCAGGGTTAGAATTCTCTGGACAGAGATCGCATGACGAGACGTGGCCTTTGGGGGACCTGGGTGTCACCAGTGGTGCACTGTGGCATCTGGGGGACAAAGAGGGCCAGGCAGCAAAAGGGCCAGCCAAGAGGCTGGAGTGGTCAGAAGGTTAACTCATGAAGGGTCTTCAGGGTTGGGTTAAAGGAAGTGCTTCTCCCTCTCCAACCGGCAAGGACTCAGCACAGCCACAGAAATCAACTTCCGTGTTCCACTCAATTCAGCCAGTGTTTAGTGAGCATCTCTGATCTGCCAGGACCTGTCCTGAGAATGACAGAGATTGTGGAGCTGTGCCAAGGGGTTAAAATAATAGAGATTAAAAAGGCACTCATGAAACTGGCATTCTAGTGGGAGGGAGAAGGGGCAACAGCCCATAAACAAATAAAAAAGCAAAATTCACAATGTGTCAGCTGGCGCTAAGCGTTGGGGAAAATAAAACAGGGGAGAAGAATAGAGGATGCTTAGGGTGGAGAGGGGCTGACTTCCAAATAGGACAGCCAGGGAAGACCTCAGTGAGAGCTCCAAGATGAGGGTTGCTGGTACCAGGGGAGGGTTCCCAAGCCCAGTGATGGGCAAGTGCTCAGGGGGTGAGGTGGGGGCATGGAGGCTCATCTGAAGAACAGGAGACGATCACTGAGTCTGAGTAAGCATGAGTGAGACAGGAGAGAGGCTGAGGGTGTGAATGGGGCCTCAGCCTGTGAGCCCAGAGAGACGGGGGTGCTGGAGAGCTGTGAGCAGGGGAGAGAGGTAAGCACCAGGGCGGCTGAACCGAGGACAGATTCACAGGAGGACATGGGAGTGGGGTTGGGAGGCGGACTATTGCAAGAATCCAATAAATGCACCTAAAAAATGAACAGGTGAATGATGGCAGGCCCTTCCAGCAGCAGAAGCCACGCGTGGACATAAGATCTGACCTTCAAGAATAGTCCTAACACTCCTCCTTTGGATAAGATGTGACAGATGACCGTGGGCTGGCTGAGCTGCCTAAGAGATAGTATTGAATTTTAAAATTAGGTGGCCAGTGTAATCCGTTTTGTGCGGATGATAGACAGGTGATAGAGAGAGAGATGATGGGAAGATAGAGGACAGATAGATAATTGATAGATAGGTAGGTGGATAGATAATAGGTAGATAGTAAGTAAGTAGATAGACAGATAGAAAGGAAGGGAGGAAGGGATGGAGAGAAGAGGAAGGAAGGGAGGAAACTGCATAGACATGTTGCCCAGTGGGAACTGGCTCTCTAGCTGCCCTGCTTCTGAACTCAGGCCAGTCTCAGCATAGCCCGACCGTCTCCCCCAACCACATACCCAATCCTGAAGTTTTCCAAGTGTGTGGATTTTGTTCTTCATTTTATTTTGAAACATGCAGGCAAAGCGCATGCACAACCTGGTCCACTAGACTGGCAGGCATGGAGATTTCCAGAACAGACTTCGCTGCTGGTTTCCTATAGAGAGGGCCGGGGTGGGGGGTGGTGTTTCTGGGTGGCAGGGCTCCTGGAGGCTTCTGGAAACTGCATTTAAATACCCTGCTCCTTTCCCAAAGCTTCTCTCTCCACCTTGTCCCCAGCTTTCCACTCTCAGCTCCGCGCTCGCCACGCACCCTGGCTTCCTTTCCTTTCTCCTTGCTCTTCCTGGTATTTCCCACTTGGCAAGACCAAATCTAAGGGGCCTGAGCATTTGGCAACACAAACAGCCGGCAGACAGTCAAGCTGGGACACTGCTGTCCTTTGGTGCCCCTGAGGTCTCACTTGTACCCACAGGAAATTGTTTACTGTGGTTATTTCTGGAGAGAGACCCAGAGGCTCGGCTCGGCATCCCATGATCCACACTTTGGACCAATTAGTTTCTTCTCTGAATGTACATCAATTTTATGTTTAAAAAAATTTTTTTAATTTTTCTATATGCCATCCAAGGCTTTCCCTAACATTGCAGGGCCCAGAGAAAGAGAGCAAAAGGAGGCCCCTGATCATTGCTTGACTCCCCTCTTCCCTTCCTGTCCCAGATCCAGCCTCTGGGCCGTTGTGTGGGGACAGCCCAGCCCGCACTAGCTCTGCTCACTCTCCACACTCAAAAGCAGACCCTGGGTCATCCCTGTGCACCAGGTCTACCCTTGTCAGATAGGACACAGACACAGGATCTGGAAATAGACTTGGGGACATTCAGGTGGGGATTGCACAGATCAAGGTAGAGGGGAGGGTGTTAATACTACTTCCAGTCGATGGCAGAATTACCAGTATCTTCCTCTGAAATTCTGTTTTACTGAACATTTTACACCTAGCAGAACATTTACGATCTCTACGTGGCCCCCAGATTACTCGGCCACATTTGGAGGAACTGATTTGACTGCAGGATGGCACGTAGTGGAGGGCACGGTGCGGGGGGAGGGCTGGGGCACCAGGCAGACCTGTAATGCATTTGGCTTCTTGTTGCTTCTCAGCTGAGGGTCCCCTGAGCTCTCTGAGCTTCAATTTCCTTCTCTGTAAGCAGGGAATAGGAATAAGCACTTTTCAGCGTTATTGGAAGGATTGAGTGGCCAGGCAAATGAGTGGCACATTTAAAAAATATAATTATTACTATTTTTTAAATGTCAATCGATGCCAGGAATATTTTGATGATTCTCCTAGGGTGGTTTCAGTAAGCTTATTTCCTGGTTCTAATCACTTCCTCCATCACCCCTTACGTCATCCTCAGTCCTACCTCACTCGCCCTCCCCGCCCTGCCCCTCCCTGAACGCATCACCGCTCCCAGCCCCCACACTCAGCCCGCCCCCAGCCCAGGGCTCAGCCTGGGGAGAAAAAGCACACTTTCTCTTTCACCTCAGGCTGTCCTTTTGACTTTTCCCTCTCCCAGACCCATTTCAGACCCTCTTACTCACCTCCACAGAAACAATGTGAAAGAGACTCAGATCAGCATTTTTACCCTTCCTAGGGTCACGTGCATGCACTGGATTAAGCTGAGGCTTGATGCTCAGCCAGAGAGCCAAAGTAAGTTGGGGGGCAGGCAGCGGGGTGCAGGGTGGGAGAAGAAAGCCGGCTCGGGAGCCAGAGACTTGGATTCAAATTCTGCATCTGTTCTTCCTAATTGTGGGGTCTCTGATGAGTCATTTCCCCTCTCTGAGCCTCAGTGTTCTCACGTGTAAAATGAAAGAATGAGTCCTACCCTGCACTTTGGTAGCACAGATCACTGACGTCTGTAAGAGGCGTTTGGTCAGTGATAAGGAGTAGGTAGAGGCCAGATCATGCGGGGCCTTGACAAGTAGACTAATGAGCTTGGGCTTCGTCCTGAGGGCAGTGGGGAGCCATGGAAGACTCCAAGCAGAGGGTGGCACTACCAGGTGGTGGAGATGAGATGGGAGAAGTCTTACTCAGGTGACACTACGGGGAGAGGCAGGGAGACTGGGGAGCAGCCATGAGACCTGAACTCAGGCAGTGGCTGGAGAACAGGGAGGAGGAACAGATTCAAGACCTAGCCTGGAGCTGGCATCCTCCCGGGTGGAGATGTCCTCATCCTCCACTTTGTTGTCAATGAGAGGGTCTGAGAGCTCTCTGTCCAGCACTGACCATGGGGATGTAACCTTGGACAGGAGAGCAGGGAGGCAGGAGGAGGAAGAGTGTGAGGAGGAGATGAGGTGAAACAGAAAACACCTGATTTTTCTTTCCCAATTTTTCAAACACTGGTTTCCACTGGAACAGGCAATACCTAGCAAAAAGGAAGAAAAATAAGTTTTTGTTGAGAAACAAACAGCTATTTTTCACTGAGCTCTTTCTATGCGCCAGGCTCCATGCTAGGCATTTTACTCTTTAATCTCATTTAATCATCACAATTAACCCATGATCATCATCATGATCTATGATCTCTCTCTTACATGAGAAACACAGGCACAGAGAGGTGAAGAATGTGGTCTAACGTGAGGGAGGGCAAGGGTTGGGATTCAAGGTTGTCAGACTCCAAACCCCAAGCTCACCCCTCCCTACAAACAGTACCCCTTAGAAGAGGGTTGTGTAACATGATATAAGCAGAAAAAGCACATTATATGCAGTGTGACTACAAGTATTTTTTGGAAGTACGTGGACACAAGATGCTGTTTACAAAAGCAACCACAAATGTAAGGGACCAAAGATAAGTTGTCAGAGCCTTTTAAAGAAAAGTTATAGCACTGGGAACTATGCTCAGTATCTTGTAATAACCTTTAATGAAAAAGAATATGGAAATGAATATATGTATGTATATGCATGACTGGGACATTGTGCTGTACGCCAGAAATTAACACATTGTAACTGATGGTACTTCATCTGAAAAAAAAAAGAAGAAGAAAGTTATACAATTTTATTAAATGACGTTAAAGAAAACCTAAATACACGGAGACACATGCCATGCTCGTGGATAAGCAGGCAATTATCCTCCAAGTGTCCTAACGCTATTCCTATCAAAAGCCCAAATCAATTTTTCATATAACTTGACAAGCTGAATCTTCAGTTCGTACGGAAGAACAAAGGGCCCAGAAGGGCTAAAACACTCCCAAAGCAGAATCCTAGGCAGGGACTTAACCTACGAGGTACCGAGATTTATGATGAAGCAACCACAATTTCAATAGTATGAAACTGGTACAGGAATTGACCAATAGACTCATGGAACAGAATAAAGGGTCCCAGAAAGGGATCCACATATATTAGAAAACCTGATCTCGGATGGAAGATGCCTTGAAGATGAAGAGGGAAGAACCATGATTCCACAAATAAAGCTGGGAAAGTTGACTCTCCAAATGGGGAAAACAAAACCTCTTATCGTACAAAAAATCACTTCCAGGTCTGTCAATCCCTTAAACTTCAAAACCTTAGAATTCTTAAAAGAATTTTTAAAACCTTAAAATTCTTAAAAGAATTATTCGGCCATAAAAACAATAAGGAAGTCCTGCCATTTGTGACATGGGTGGATCTTGAGGGCATTGTGCCAAGTGAAATAAGTCAGACAGAGAAAAACAAACAGCATATGATCTAACTTTCATGTGGAATCTGTTGACAGAGGTTGGGGGTAAGGGAAATGGGGAGGCGTTTGTCAAAGGTTGCGGGCTTTCAGTTACAGATGAATATGTTCTGAGGATCTAATGTACGACACGATGACTAGACTTACAGTATTGTTATTTTATACTTGAAATTTGCTAAGAGAGATTTTAAAAGTTCTCATCACACAAACACACAAATGGTAACTACGTGAGGTGACAGATGTGTTACTAACCTTATTGCGGCAATCATTTCACAATACGTACGTATGTTGTCATCACGTTGTACACCTCTGACACTTACACAACGTTATCTGTCAATTATATCTCAATAAAGCTGGGGAAAAAAAATTAGAAGAAAATGTGGAATATCTTTACGATCTCAGCTAGAGACAGATTGCTTAAGCAAAATTCAGAAAGCAACAACCACAAAGAAAAAGATTTGAAAGAAAACATGTAACTAAATTAAATTAAGTAATTTCTGTTCATGAAAAGATATCAAAAGAAATGAGATGACAAATCATAGGTTTGGAGAAGACATTGGTCATGTACTTTCAATAAATGACTAGTACCCAGGATAGATAAAGTCCTACAGATTCACAAAACTAAGGCAAACAATTTAAGAGAAAAGTAGGCAAAAGGCTAAAACAGATTTTTTTTTATGTAAGAGGAAATAACTATAACCAAGAAACCTATGACAAGATGCTTAATACTGTTATTACTCATGAAAATGCAAAATAAAACCACATTTAAATATCATTTTACACCCACAGAACTCATGAAAATTGTAAGTTTGACAATAGCAAGTGCTAGGATGTAGAGCAACTAGAAAGATCACTTGTGTGTTTGTGAGTGTGTGTGTGTGTAATTAGGTTTATCTATTCATTTATTTAATGGAGGTACTGGGGATTGAACCCAGGACCTCGTACATGCTAAGCCTGCACTCTACCACTGAGCTATACCCTTCTCCCCAGTGACTGTCTACTCTTGATGGCAATGTACATTGGTACTGCTGCATTGGACAATAACACACACACACATGTCTCATGATCCAGTAATTCAAACATTTATTTTATAACTAGAAAAATTCTTGCACATGTGCATCAGGGTATATGTACTAGAATGATCATGGCTGTTTTGTTTATTAAAAATCCTGGAACCACATCATATGCACATTAGGATGGCTATTATTTAGAAAGGAAGAAAGAAGGAAAGAAAAAAGAAAGGAAGGAAGAAATCAAGGAAGGAAGGAAGAAAGAGAGAAAGAAAGAAAGGAAGGAAGGAAGAGGGAGGGAGGGAAGAAGGGAGGAAGGAAGGAAGGGGAAAACAAGTGTGGACAAGCAACGGGAGAAACTGGAAACTGGAACCCCTGGAGCTGCTGGTAGGAATGCACAATGGTGCAGCCACTGTGGAAAACAATACGACATTTCCTCAAAAATGAAAAGCAGAATTGCCATGTGATCCAGCAATCCCACTTCTGGGTATATTCTCAAAAGAATTGAAAGCAGGGGCTCGAACAGATATTTTTACAGCCACATTCATAGCAGCATTATTCACAAGAGCCAAGAGGTCAAAACAATCCAGGTGCTCATCAACAGATGAATGAATAAACAAAACGTGGTCTACACATACAACGGAAAATTAGATTTAAAAAAGAAGGAAATTACAACACACGCTACAACATGGATGAGCCTTGAAGACATGCTAAGTGAAATAAGCCAGACACAAAAAGACACTGTATGATTCTACTTATGTTAGGTACTTAAAGTAGTCAAATTACCAGAGACAGAAAGTAGAATGGTGGTTGTCAGGAGGTGTGATGAGGAGAGAACGGGGGGTTATTGTTTACTTGGTACAGGGTTTCAGCTTGGGAAGAGGAAAGAAGCTCTTCAGATGGATGGTGGTGATGGCTGCACAGCAAGGTGAGTGCACTTAATGCCACTGAACTGTACGCTTAAAAATGGTTCAGATGGTAAATTTCATGTTTATATAGTTTTCTCACAATAAAAATATCTTTAATCATTTCATTTAATAAACTACTTTAAATCTATAGATTTAAATAAAATCTACAGATGTACAGTGAAACTGTAATGAAAAGCAAAAGAATAACTCAACATTCAGGACGGTGGCAGTCTCTGGGTGGGTTGGGAGGAAGAAGCACATGGTGGATTCTGAGATACTGGTGTTCTGTTTCTCAAGCTGGGTGATGGAACATGGGTATTCACTCCTAAATTCTTTTTTTAACTTAATTTTTTACCGAAGTGTAGTTGATTTACAATGTTAGTCTCAGGTGTACAGCAAAGTGATTCAGTTATACATACACATGCACACACACATATATATATATTCTCAGGTTCTTTTCCATTATATGTTATTACAAGAAATTGAACACAGTTCCCTGTGCTATGCAGTAGGTCCTTGTTGTTTATTTGTTTTGTATATAGGAGTGTATATCTGTTACTCTCAAACTCCTAATTTATCCCTCTCCTCTTTAATTATTTAAATTACCCATCTGTGTTATATACTTTGGGGTGTACATAAATTAACTAATATTTTTAAAACCTACACATAGAAAAAAGACTGGAAGAACTCTAAATGTGATGGTGTCTGAGTATTGGGGCTCTCTTATTTTTTGTTTTTTCTATATTTTTAAAATATTCTTTCACCTTTTTACAGTGAAAGGAGCCCTAACTCACATTTAGAAAAAAAGAAATGAAGAGAGCTTTTCCCTCAGATTTGTTCAGGGAAGAAGGAAGTGAGAGGAAATGGGTGCGAGCTTTGGGCTTTCCCTAATTCTAGCAGTAACACAGGACACTGGATTTTTGAGGCAAAATGCTAGTGAAGAGCTTTAACTGTTACTTTGAGGAGGGGAACAGTTCCTCCCAAAAGCGAACTCCGCAGTCCCCCTTCTCAGGAAATCCCTGCCAGTTTCAAGAGTGGGCAGCAAGTTTTGATGCCCTTTTCAAACATGGGACGTCACCAAGGAAATGAAGCCGCTGGGCTCAAGCAGCCCTTGGTGGAGCTGATTTCAGATCCCCTGAAATCAGGGCACACATCCCCTTTCGAGAGCATTAAGGCCCAGATGAAAGAGAAGAATAAGAGAAATATCACAGAGCTAAGAGAAATACCTGAGTTAGGAGGTGGTTTGAGAAAACATGGTCCAACACACCCACATACACATGGATAGTATGACTGCCATTTGGGCAAGTTAAATTCAAGAGGTCTTGGGTTTCTCTTCCCAGGACCATCATCTTGTGTACCTCCTCTCTCTCACATCCCTGAAACCTCAACACAAGATAAAAGAAACTCAGTCGTTCATTCTCCTGAGGCATTCATGGACTCCACAAACATGGAGGTGGGTTTGTTGGGGGCCTGGAGATGCAGCGGAATGAGACAGCAACCCTCACCTCAAGGAGCTCACCCTTGTCAACAGGAAAAATTAATTAACAGTCAACCTAAGAATGAAACTGAAAATTTTATTTGAGCCAGCCTGAGGGTTATAAGCCAGGAGACAGTCTCTCAGAAATCCCTGAGGACCGTTCCACCCGTTAGAGGTCAAAGCACAGCAGTACAAGTTTTTGAGACAAAGGTTCTACATCGATGCCGTATTATTGACAGTCTACACGATCGACTTCTACAAGGAGTAGTGCATCGTGGATCATCTTGGCTCCTTGCTGAGATTAAGAAGCAATGTTATCTATCTCCTAAGGAGATGTGGTTAATGCGGATGGACGCACAGCACACACTACAGGGGAGGGAGGAGGCCCAAATTGGCAAAGAAAAATTTTATACTTAAATTTTTCCCACCTTGCCATCAAATATGAATTTCGTTTCATCACCCTCAAGGGTGGGAGGCAGATAGAACGGCAATTAGAATGGGATGGGAGATGCTTTGTAAATGGTAAGTACAAGACGTTGTGGGCACAGAGGAGACACCTCTAACTTGGCCTGTGGACAGCAGGGAGGGCACCCAAGAGGAGCTGGTCCCTGCATCGAGGTGCAAAGGATGAGAGGTGGTAAACCAGGCACAGGGGGGTTAGGATGGGGAATTGGTCTTGCACTGGCAAGGACGTGGAGGAGAAAAACACTGAGCGCAAAGGGAACCATAAGCAGTCTGTTTTTTCCCGGAGTTTGATATTGTGATTTATAACATGAAACATATATTTGGTCTGTGCAGAGTTTCTAGAACTCTAGGAATTTCCTAAGTGATGAAAGTTATCTTTATGGATATTCATAACAAGCCCCTTTCCACCACACCTGGGTTTATGGTAAAGAGGTGACTTTTGGAAAGCCTCTAAGGATGGGGGCTGGTTGCCGGGGGAACCAACCACCCAATTGGAAGGTTGTAACTTAGCCCCCTCCCTTACCTCCGGGAAGTGGAAAAAGGCCAGAGATTAAGTTCAGTCACCAATGGCCAGTAACTTAAATCCATCAGGCCCACATAACGAAGGCTCCATAAAAACCCCAAAAGACGGGGTTAGTGAACACGTGGAGTTGCTGGCAGAGTGACCCTTTGGAGAAGTCATGGAAGCTCCAAGCCCCTTTCCATGTATTTTGCCCTTTGTTCTTCATCTGGCTGTTCATCTGTGTCCTTTATAATATCCTTTATAATATCCTTTATAATAAACTGGTCAACTATAAGTAAATGTCATGCCAAGTTCTGAGAGCCACTCTAGCAAATTCACTGAACCCAAAGAGGGGGCTGTGGGAACCTCCCATTACCAGCCACTCAGAAGCACGGGTGACAACCTGGGCTTGAGACTAGGGGTAGTCTTGTAGGACTAAGCCCCCTTAACCCGTGGGACCTAATGCTATCTCCAGAGTAGACAGGTGTCAGACTTGAGCTCATTGTGTCAGAAAACACGTGCTGGATGGAGCACTGATGACAAGGCAGGGCCTGGCTAGGGGAGGCTGGAGAAGTTACAAGGAGCCCTCTGTCTAAAGAAATCTATTCCCACTCAGTCGAGGGACTTAGACCCGGTCCCTTGGGTACTGGAGAGCCATGGAGGTATTTTAACAGGGAAGGGAGGTGGCCGGTTTCTCTCTTGCATTTTGATCAACCTGCCATTTAAGTGGCCCATTTGATGATATCACAAACCAGGAAATTTAAGGTATAAACCTCAAGCAGATTAAGTAAAAGGCAGGTACAGCCCAAACATAGACAAATCTACGTCTGGGTCCTGCCCCACTCCTCACCAGGGTGGTGAGTCACGTAGTTCTCTGAGGCACTGTCTGCTCATCTGCAGTGGCTCATCTCATGTGAGCATCCAATGAAACACCGCCTGTGCCAGCCCTGGGCGTAGCTGTGTATCCGCCTGAAAATAAATCTCCCGGATAGAGTGTTAATCCCCAAATTAAGTGGCAGAGTAATATGTATGATACTATTAATCTTAAAAGACAAACAAAAACAAAACACGGATGTTTGAAAAAGGCAGAGAAAAAAGTTGGAAAGATTCACAGCAAATTGAAAATAGAAAAAGTTCCTTCTGGAGAAGTGGGAGGAACCCAAGACTGGAGCTAGAGACCAAAAGGGGGTTTAGCCTTATCTGTAAAGCTTTCATTTTTTTTACACAGAAAATGTGTTCCTGCACAACTTTTATATTTAAAAATTAATTTTAAAATAACCTAACAAAAGCCCTTGATGGAGAGTCGATGTTGAGTCAGTGTTCTCTCCCTTCTGCTTGCTCACACAGTGAGATCTGGGGTCTTTCCAGTTCTGTTTCCTAATTCGCCCTAATGCCAACCCCAGTTGGAGGGCAGGAGGCCTGTCATAGTCGCTCAACAAATATTTGCAGATCTTCTCTGACAAGGTTAGTGGGTCTCTTGCAAGTGGGTTAAAGGTCTCCCTTGGTGGCTCTGTGACCTCACAGTCTCCCCTGGGGTCCACCGGAGGGACTGGACTCAGTCCTCAGCAGGGTACGAGGACACTGCCCTCCCTCTGGCCTTCTGGTAGACCCTCAACTCCTTGGGACGCTCCACTCGCCCCTCTCCCTCCTGGCCCCGGAGCTCCTCACTGGTAAAGCAGAGAGATGCCTGCCTGCATGGCCTTCCCAGAGAAGGGCTGGGGTCACCCAGGCCACCAAAAGGCCCAGTCCAGTGAAGAAAACTCTCAGTGGTGGTCAGCTTTGCTGGGGGCTGGGGGGCACAAGAGACTTCATTCTCTGCTGTAGACCCTTTGTCCTGTTTGAGTATCTTTTTTAATAGGTTGCCTCTTAAATTAAATAATTACTATTCTTTTAAATAATTAGTTCATGAAAACAAACAAACAAAAATTCACAAAAGCTAATCCCACTTTAATAGCTCTGATTTAGGCCAGGCTAGGGTTTTTGATGACTATATTTCTTGAGGAGGGGAGCAGGGCAGAAAGAACAAAGGTCTTTTGATGACTCTAAGCAGGAATGATGGTGGCTCTTCCAGAGAAGAGGGTGCCCCTGATGTCTCCTCTACCCCAAATCCCTGAACACTAACTGGGGCTTGGTGAGAATTTCTTGAATTTAGCTCAAGCAGGAAGCCACGTCTCAGGTCTACTAAAAAGGCACTTGTTCTGGAAAGAAGGGGAAAATGAAAAAGAGGATGGTATGAATTCACAGAGTGAGGAGAGGGCTTGGGTGTTCCAACATTTCCCCTCATTTCATGAATATGGCCATGAGGCCAGAGAGGGGATGGGACTTGAGATCCAGCTAGAACCAGATCCAAAGTGGGCGGGGGCTCCCATAGGACCACAGGATAAACACTTCACCCTCCCAGCTTCCCCGTGAAGTGGGCACTGTCTCCATTTTGTGGGGGAGGAGACACCCCCAAGGTGACCCAGACAGGAATCAACTGAACTAGGCGTAGGATCCTGACCTCTGACCCCAGGGATTTCTCTTCTACCTTTGACCTCACCTCTCATCACACAGCTCTTGGGGTTGCAGGGAGCCAGGTTTTCATCTGGCCTTGCTCCACTCAGAATATACGAATCTGGCCACAGACACCTGGAACATATAATTATTGCACTTATCTAGATTTATTACTATTTATGAGGTGCTAAACACTTACATGTGAAGGGAGTTTCTGTCCTGGGTGCCGGTGTACCATCAGCTTGCGAATGAATGACTGAATGACCTCGAAGCCTGGAGATCCCCAATATACAGATGAAGAGGTTGAGATGCAGGGAGCTGAAAGGACTTACTTCAGTTACGCGGGAATCGCGCCCAGAGCCGCCCAGGTCTCCCTTCTCTGTTTCCTCCTCAGAGTCACGGTTGGCTGGACACCCAGACCATCAGAGCCCACCCTAGAGAAGCACAGCCCAGTCACCAGAGAACAGACCCACCTGCCCCTGGGCACCTGTGCTGCCGACACACGGTGACACCCACGCACCACGACACACACTCATGTTTGGGCCGCGCCGAGCCCTCCCCAAGCTCCCCAGCTCCAGCTAAGGAGCAGGGACGGAGGGAGGGATTCCCCGTCTGAATCTGCGTGTGTTGGATGAGGCTGATTCCTCTCCAGGCTCCCAGGGTCAGCACTCAGCCTGTCCATTCTCCTGGAGCCCAGTGTTCAGGGCTGTGACCTAAGGGTCAGCCCTGGAGCCTTCACTAGAGGTAGCAGGAAACAGGTCATCTCACCACCGCACTTACCACAAAACTGCATCTGCACAAGGAACTGGTGCCCTGACCAGCCTGATTTTTCATAATGCACCACACAGTTGCTTACCTCCTCCCTGCTTCTTAAAAACAGGGATGTGTCATGTTCATTTCTACATCCAGAAGACCCATCATAAAGAATTGTTCAGTGGATAACTTACAATGAATGACTGGATGGATGGATGGATGAGTGAGTGAGTCGTCTGGTTGGCCAGGAGACTTAGTCGAGCCAGAAAGGAGAGTTGTCTGTTCAGAGACCTACCTGCTACGTATGAGGCCTAAGTTACCCTCAAGATCTCTCTGAGCTGACAAAGGATTATTGTTTCTTAATCTCTTCATCCAGACTGCAGCTGAACCAGCCACACCCCTGGAATACAAGCCAGTCTCCTATTACAGAAAAACAAATCTGACCCAGTCATTTCCCTGCTTAAAACAACTTTCAGTGACGTGTTTGGCAGGAGTGGGTGGAGGCCAGTCAGCATTTGGATTCAGGGAGAATATTCTACATTACAGAACATTCATGTGTTTATCAATTGATTCATTCAGCAAGCATTTAATTAGCACCTACTATATGCCAGGCCCTGTACATGTTACTTCATCTTCACAGCAAGCTTTTAGGGCCACGTATTTGTTATCTGTTGCTGCATAGCAAATCAGCCCAAACTTGGTGGCTTAAAACAGCAGACATTTGTCATCTCGCAGGATCCAGACGCAGCTCAGCCACATGCCTCTGGGTTAAGGTCTCCCACAAGGTTGCAGTCAAGTTGTCCAGCAGGGCTGCAGTCATCTCAAGGCTCAACTGAAGCTGAGAGATTGGCTTCCAAGCTCATTCACGTGGTTGCTGGGAGGCCCCAGAAGATTCGCCTGCGAGCTCTCTCACATGGGCCTCTCATAGGGCTGCCTTTTCTCGTGGCAGCTGGCTTTCCCAGAGCTATCGATCCCAGAGACAGAGAGAGTGTCCAAGACAGAAGCCACACCCTTTCTATACCTTAGTCTTAGGAACAACACGTCATCATGTCTGCCATATTCTGGTCCTTCAAAGTGAGTCAGTAGGTCCAGCCTACACTCTAAGGAAGGAGATTACATAGGGTTTGAATACAAGGCAGTGGATTAATTGGGATGGCAATTTCAGAGGCTGCCTGCCACGGGTAAGGCATTATTACCCTTCATTTCATACTCAGACACCCTGCTGGTTAAGCAGTGTGTCCACGTCACCCAGCAAGAGAGTCATCTGACTGCAGTGGCTTACTCTATCACTAAGCCAGTCCAGGGCGAGGTGGAGGAAGGCAGGGAGGAGATGCTGGCAGAACAACAAATGGGAATAAGAGTCTGTATTAACTGTCTACACTGTATAATCGATTACCCACAACCTAGTGGCTTAAAAGTAACATTTAGTATCTCACACAGTTTCCAAGTGTCAGGAATTCAGGAGCAGTTTAGCTGAGTGGTTCTGGATTGGGTCTCCCACGTGGCTATAGTTAAGCCATAGGCTGGGACTGCAGCTTTGAAGACTTACTGAGGCTCAGGATCCACTTCCAGGATGACTCACTCCCATGGCTGTTGGTGGGAGGCCTCAGTTTTTTGCCACATGGACCCATGTAATCATGCTTGAATATTGTGATGACAGAGGAGATGACTTCCTCCAGAACAAGTGATGCAGAAGAGCCCAAGCAGATGCCTCGGTGCCCTCACTGCCCAGCCTTAAGCATCATATGCTGTCATTTCCCCAGTGTCCTGTTGGTTCCCCAGGTTGGCCCTTCTCATTGTGAGAGGTGATTACACAGGGCATGGGAACATCAGTCACTGGAGGCTGGCTACTAGCGTGTCCAGTGTGAGCAGTAATCCCCAAACTCAACTCTTCGTAAGTCATTCCTCGGGGTCAAAGAGATCCACAGCTTTCCCACTTATGGTAGCATGTCATCTGATTTCCTTAGCTCTGTCTCACACCGTCTTTTGGGCTGATGGACCATTTGGAACTGGCAGCTTGGTCTCATTAAAAACCTCAAGAGTCACCCCCAAGACCCTTGTTGATGCACCCTCTCCCCATCTTCTCTGTTCTGTGGGAAGGCCTGCTTCTCTGGGAAGCCTCCATTCAGCCTTCGACACATAGTTATAGCACCTCCACCACGTACAGGTTCTGGCTGGGTGCTAGGATATGGTGGTGAGCAAACAGATATCCATCTTCCATGGAGAATTTCCAGTCAACATGGGGAGATAGACACTAGCTGACTAATAATAATCCCATTACAAATTGTGACAAATTCTCCCCTCAAAAACCTACAGGGTGCCACATGAGCATTTAATGGGGGGCCTGGCCTATTCTGCATGCGATATTTGAACCAAATCAAGAAATTAACTAGGCTGGGTAGGTGCATTTGCATTAGGTTCAGATGTAAGTGTCTAAAATAGTAGCTTAAATAAGATAGATGTTTATTTCTCTCTTGCTTAGAAGTCTGGGCAAGTATTTGAGGACAGGTACAGTGCCATTCAGTGGGCAGAAACCCAGGCTCCTTCTATCTTGTTGCTCTGCTCCATATGACCATCACACTGTCCAGGATGGTGGCATCTGCATTCTGGGCAGCTAGATGGAGAAAGGGACACAGTGGGTAATATCCACCAACAATCCCTGAAGTGGCCACAAGATGCTTCCCCTTACATCGTAATGGCCAGAACTTAGTCACATGGCCACACCTAGCTGCAAGGGAAGCTGGGAAGTGCAGCTTTCATTCTGAGCACCCATATGCCCAGCCAAAAACTGGGAGCTCCAACTTCATGCAAAAATAGCATCCATAGTCAACTCTGTCTTGCATTTACTCTGTGCCAGGCACTGTCCTGAGTCCTTTAAATTCATCAGCACATTTCACCCTCACAACAGATCTATGAGGAAGGTAATATTATTGCCCCCATTTTACAGATGAAGACATTGAGGTACAGAAGTAAAATAAGTTAGTAAGGAGACAGGCTGGAATGTGATTCCCATGTAGTTTGGCTCCAGAGTATGGGCTCTGTTAACAGAGTTAACAGTTATGAAGAAAGGGAGAATGGCTATTGGCGGGCATGCACATTCTCTGTCCATAGAGCAGGGTGGAAGGCAGCAAGAGGAAGCACTCCAGACAAAAGAAACAGAAAATGTAAAAGCCTCCAGCCACCCAACGTAAGATCCTTTATCGCAGCACCTCTCAAACCTAAATGTGCTGAAGAATCTCTTGGAGATCATGTGAAATGCACACTTCATTCAGTAGGTCTGGGCTAGGGCTGAGAAGTTGCCCCATGGTGCCCAAACAGCTGCCCCGTGGACCACACCAGGCTGTGGGCCATCTTTTGAGAGGGAGGACTCGCAGTCAAGTGCCCACCACTGCATGGCTTCCCTCCTGCACAGGGCCAGGCCAACAAACAGTTCATCCAGTAGCTAGCTACCCAAGACCCCTTCACCGTTCTTGCTGCCCCCAGGGTTTCCAGTTCTGGCTGAGATTTCCTTCTCTCTCCCAAGGGTGCCAGGCTCCTTGTTGAATGAATGAACAAGTAAATGAATGAAAGAGGGAATGCTGGAGGTGAGAGGGAAGGACAGGCCACTGACTGTAGGGTCCAAGAGAAGAGTTTGGTTCACTGGCTCCACTCTACACCAAACCTGGACTAACACTGTGCATTCTGAATCCTCCCAGGGGAACAGATACCACCATCTCCCTCTATTTAGACATGAGGAAACTGCCTGCTTTTTTAACATGAGCGCCCGCCCCTCTCTTCCCCTGGAATTTTTCAAGCTCCGAGCTACCACAACCTTGGAGGTGGGGGCCAGCCACAGAAGGGGAAGTTCAGAATGCGTTTCCTCCACGTGGAGGAAGCTTGTGTTACAGCTACCGTCTTCTCTAATCCAGCAGCTCCCCAAGGAGATGCCGATTATCTGTGAATTTCACAGAAGGAAACTGAGGCTCAGAGAGGTCTGCTGTCCTGCATAGCTGTGACTCGGCACCCCGCTCAGTGAACTCAGGGAACACCGCTGGAATGAACCACAAATGGAAGATGGAAGTAGAGCTCCCAGGCCAGCTACAATAGCTTCGGGTGACTGAGCCCTTACCAGGTGCCTGGTACCGCTAAGCGGTCTCCCAACGTTCTCATTTGATCCCCAGGAAAAAGCTCCTCTAATATGTGTTATCCCCCTCTTTGTGCAGACTTGAAGGGTGTGGGCTCAGAGAAGCCAAGTGTCTTTCCCAGAGAGGCACAGCACAGCAGGGACGGGCTGGGTCGACTTTACAAACCTAGGCCTGCCTGACCTCCTCCTTCCTCTGGCAGCATTAGGCCCTTACTCGGAGTTCGAAGCTGCTCACAGTCCGAATCTGGACCATTCCACTCAATCTTCACAACTCAAGGAAATTGTTTTACAAATGCGAAATAACGGAGGCTGGAGAGGCAGAGGGATTTGCCTACGGAGAGAACGTGATGGAAAAATCCAGTGGGGGGCTCAGAAGGAATGCACGCGGGAGTCTTCGGGGGCTGCCCCTCCGAGAGCCTTGACACCCAGCGCGCGCCCCCACGGCCCTCTCCTCCCAGACCCGGGGGACCGGGGCCCCTTCAATGGGGCGGCGGAAGGGGCGGCCGGGGGCCGCAGGCGGCGCCCAATGGGCTTCGCGGAGCGTCACTTCCCGGCGGCGGGAGGCGAGCGGCGAGTGCGGGG